ATAATGGACTTGGATAGGTCGTGACATGACCTTATGGATCTGTTGTTTTACAAAATCAACAATCCGGTTGAAAATGCATGGGCCAATAGTCAGTAAAAGAAGGAGTAGCAATAGGCGGCCTGTTATGGCCGAAAGCAGAGTAGCAAGCCAGGGAGATCCTTTAAGCCACCCATCAAACCAATTTTGTTGATTTTCAAAATCTCGTCTTCTTTGGGCAAGTCTCTCCCTTAGTTTTTCCATAGATTCTCTAACTACTCTTGTTTGATCTGCATAAAAACAGCATTCTTCCTTCAGAGCTGCACAGCATTCTTCCTTCAGAGCTGCTTTTGATCAGGAAGGACTGGATTGGGACCTATGGGGACGGTAGCAACACTCTGTATTGATAATTTGATTTTGAAAATGACACCCCTGTCTTTTCCACTTAAATACCAGCGCAAACCCCAAGTCCTGCCCGAGAGCCAGTCCCTGAACTTTTTACCCTGAGTAGTGAATTTTATTTTGAGAGGCAAAGAGAGTCCGTGCCTTTGGCCATAAAAACCTTCCCTGCCCTTAACGTAATAACAAGTGTGTCCATCGGGGTCTGGCTTGTTATAGTCCCGAGAAACAGTGATTAGATCCCAAGAGGAGGAGGGGTGCCAATATGCTGCCCCCGTGGTTTCGCATCCCCAGCTCCCACAAAAAAATGTTCAAATCCACCACAGGTGGACTCAGTCGCCCTATCCCTGCCATCCTTGGGACATACATAAAAATCTGACTGGGCCAGTCTGCAGCGGGCGGTAGGGCTGCTGCAGCCCGGGGCGGACTTTGTCCTAGGGTTAGAGCCATAAGACACATATTTTGTTGTGCCATTTAACTTGTGTAATTCTATGGTGGATATATCCCAAGTGTCTAGCCCTGCAGCCAATTGGCAAAAATCGGGGGTGAGAGTGGGCCACCAGGAATATGGAGTATGAGTGCCGGTAGTTGACCAGACCGTTTCGCCTGTAGAGATATTACTTGCCATGTGAGATGTTTTGTGGTGTGTGGGCTTTCTGGAGAGACAGCAGAAAAAGAAAGAACAATAATAAACAACAAGGGGGGTGTAATTATCGTCTTTGACCGCGGCTGGTGTGATCGGAGGCATCTGTCAGAAGATGGACTTGGTATCCCCGGACCAGCAGCCATCCTGGACTTGGTAACCGATTGTAGATTGTAGAGTCACAGATGGACGAGTATTTTCTGAAAAAGACAAGAGAGAGTAACTGGCCTCGGGAGGACTGAAGGCCCCTCCCTGGGCTGGGGGTTAGAATGTCTCACGAGCCGTTCAGGGAGCCAGCGGGCGGCATCATGAGACTGTGAGAAGTTCCTAATCCTTTTCCAGGAAGAAAACCCTGATTAAGCATTTGGGCTGTAACTGTGTCACTTGGACTGAACATGATAATGCTCATTTGAGATAGTAGGTCACGGCCCCACAAATAGACCAGAAGGCCAGGAATGACATAAGGTTTTACTAATCCCATGTTGCCTTCTTGGTCTTTCCATGTGAGATATTTGGAACTTTGTAATGGATTCTGGCTCTGTCCCAGGCCCCGTAGGTTGGTAAGAGTAGGAGTAGTAGGCCACGAGGGAGGCCAATGTTCTTGGGCAATAATGGTGACATCTGCCCCAGTATCAATGAGACCAGAAAAGCTCTTGTTATCTAGTTTTCGTGAGAGAGCGGGCTTATCCTTTGTGATGGGTTGTATCCAGAAAACATCAGAGGAGCCAAAATTATTATTGCCTCTCTCAGGAGAGACAAGGCGGTGACTAGTCCTGACCATGGGAACTGGGATTAATTGAGCTATTTTTTGGCCTTTTGCTATTTTAACAAAGCTTTTTGTCTTTACCAGGATTGAAATTTCTCCAGTGTAGTCGTTGTCGATTACACCTGGAAGGACCTTTAAACCTCTTTGAACCATACTCCCCCTTCCTAGAATTAAACCAAAGGTGTTGGGGGGAAGGGGCCCAAAAACTCCCATTTTGAGTTGCTGATAGCCCATTTCAGGCATTAGTATTGTGTCGGAGGAGGGACAGAGGTCCAGTCCTGCGCTGCCTGGGGTGGCCCTTGTGAGGTATGAAAAGGATGGGTGAGGAGCACTGTCTGAGGCCGCCCCGCGGTGAATGCTCCCATTGTTAATTTCGGGGCCGGGAGCTGGCCCCTCCGGGCGTTTCCCGGCTGAGGGGTGGAGGCGTGGCTTACGTTTGGGTCTGATAAGCGGGGAGGCAAGGGCTTTCCTTCTACATCGGTGGTGGAAGGACAGTCTCTAGCCCAATGATATCCCTTTCTGCAACGGGGGCAGGGTTTGGAGGGCCAGGGCCGAATGTTCTGAAATAATCATTGAGGGCGTCCCCCACTCGTAACCAACGTTTATAATCTATGGTGCCTTCAAGGGGGAACCAAGGACAAGTTTCTTTTATAAAATCGAAAAACCTGAGGAGATCTTTGGTTTTAACATTAATGCCTCTAGATTGAAGAGTGTCCTTTAACTGGGAGTCATACAATTCATGCTGACTAAGCTCCTGTCCCATGTTATTAACGCCGTGTTGGTGCTACAACAAACATAAAACTAACATAAACCATAAAACATAAAAAGGCTACAACAAACATAAAACTAAAGTGGCAGCAAAATAGATGCTATAACAGTTTAAGGATCTAGGGTGAGGAAGATCCAGGGGTCCACCGTAGCTGTAAAGGCCGTGGTGGGGTGCGTTCCCCTCTCACTGGGATGTCAGAGGTCTGCCGGACAATCACGGCCAGAGTCCCCGCTATAGTCCTCAGTGAGTTGGAAGCTTCCGAAAAGGGGGACTTACCCGTAGGAGAGGTCAATTCCGCTGATCAGGCGGCGAAGAAACGGGGTCTGCAGACGTAAAACACCTTCAAAAATCTTCATAAAACGGGGGGCATGAGCCCAGGGGACTGTTAGGCAAGAGAGCTAACAGCCAATAAAGAAAACTGGTAAAACCTTATAGGGCCCGGGGGATTATCGGTCAGAAAAAGAGAAGGAAACCGATAACCGGTGAGAGAAAGAAAACCGCCGGTTAGCCTGGAAGCCCCACATTGGGCGCCACTTTGCAGGGGACCTTGACCAGCAAGGCCGGAGATTCGGGGCCCCAGGTCCGGCGAACAAAAGAAGCAGTCACATGCGTGTAGCAGAACAAAGAAAGAGCTCTTTATTGGGTTTTATCTCAGCTTTATACAGGAGGAGAGGGATGCCAGGAAGGGAGAAGGCCAATAGAAATGCAACATGTTTTGGTGGCAGTTGATCTCGCGAGGGACGAAAATGGGCGAGAAAAAAAAGAGGAAAAGGAAAAGATGGGGGCAGGGAGTTCTTCCCACATGCCTTTTGCAACCCAGATGTTTTTCTTTATCCGGACTCCATTTCACCTTTTTATGGCTGCTGACAGACGCCAGATGCCGGCCTCGGTCCCCAACACTGCAGCATTAGTTTTGCTGACTCTAAAAAGGTATCCCCAGATCCTATTGACTAGCTGAGTACTCCCTGTGATTATCACCTGCCTTTCATCAGACAAGAGATAGCAGACAATTCTTATGGCAGGCTTCTTGTTTACCCAGTGCTGGTCAACTACAAACACCTAAACTAAAAAGTGTGAGTTCTTTCCAGATTTCTTTATTTTCTATAAATTTTGTTTTAAATTGATCTAGGTATTGAGTTTTCTTGGATATTTCTGATTCTCAAAATAAGATACGTGATTCAAAAAATAGGAGAATTAAGAGAAAAGTGGGCCCAGGGTAGTTGAATTAACTTGTTTTTTTCCTGTAATTTGGTGTATTTTGAAGTTGATCTTTTGCTTTTATTCTTACCTCAGCTGGGAATTTTGGGGTTGTTATATCCTGGTTAGCATCTGAGTTACATTCTCTATGAAGCAATGTATAGTATTGTATAATTGTTGTTCTATGTTGGAGTCTAAAGCAATGGCTTTTTGGTTTTTTGGTATTATTTTGTCAGGTTTAGAGAAAAAAACCCAGGTTCTCCAGCCAGAGGAGAAGAAGACTGTGGCATACCATGAAGCAGGTCATGCAGTTGCTGGCTGGTACTTGGAACATGCAGACCCACTTTTAAAGGTAAGACAAGCCAACTTTATCATGTTAGTAACTGAGAAGATTGCACTCCCGTGAAGGATAAATATTTAAGGAAACAATTTGCCAGAAAAATCTAGAAATGATGGTGGGAGCAAAAAGTGCCCAGAAACAGACTAAAATTGGAAAAGAGTTTACTCTCAAAAGCAGCAGTTGGATCAAAAAAGATAAACTCATGCCATTTGTTTATGGATGATAGAGCTGGAAGGGATCATGCTTAGTGAATAAGCCAGAAAGAAAAAGAAAAATTCTAGGTGGTTTCACTTATAGGAATGTAAAGGGATCAGGGAAAAAATAAAAAGTAATTATAATAAAGTAAAAACCAAAATCAATAAACAACTATAAACCAGAAATATTCTGCAGGGGGGAGAAGGAAATAAGATCAAACAGGTGGGAAGAACAAAAGGGACTATGGTGATGGCACACAGTGAATTGGTGGTAGGAATTCCATTGGGCTACTCCAGAGATGAAAAAGTATACATTGTACAAAAATGAAGAATGATGTAAAAAATATATAAAATATTTTTAAAAATGAAAAGGAAGCAGCAATAAAAAAAAAATGGCAAAGGGTTAGAATTGAGAGTTGGTAGATATCTTGTCTAAGGATTTTCAAACTTCAAGTCCCAATGGCAGGAAACACTGAACTTACTACTAACATCTAGAGGAAGCAGAGGAGTAAGTTTAGGATTTGAAGAATATTGGAAAAGTAACATGAAAATCCTGAAACTAGGGAAGCTACAAATGGTTTAGAACCAAACCCAACTAGAAACTGCAATTTCCTGACTGGCTGCTAAGCTTGGTATACAGAGGAAGACCCCAGAAAGTCTGGCAAAAAAAGGAAGCAGAGACCAAAGAGACAGAGTGTACCAAATGAGAGTGTTCAATTTTCTGATTTTTTTGTTTTCCCGCCATGTACCGTTCTCAAACCAGAATAGCTCAGATATCAGGAAGAAGCAGCCTAGCTAACTGTTGTTAAGGAACAGCTGGAAATTGAGGGGAATCTCCTGAAGCGAGGTGACTACAGAAAAAACTTGAAAGTGTATGCAAAACATCATCACAATTTACAAAAAAGCTATCAGAACCAAAAAGTGAAGTTAGCAAGGTTCTAGAATTCAAGGTCAGTTGATAGAGATCAGTTGTATTCTGTATATAGCAATGAATGGTTAAAAAGTGAAATTTTAAAAATGTTGTTTCATTTATGACAACATCCAGACACAAGAAATATGAGAATAAATTTATCAAAATATGTGTAGGACCTGTACATTGAATTGAACAAAACCTAAATAAAAATTGAGATATACTGTGTTCTTAGAATGTTATGATGTCATTTCTTCCCAAATTGATTGGTACAATTTCTGTCATAATTCTAGCAGACTTTTTAGGGTAGAAATTGACAATATGGTCTAACATACAGGAATGTAGATCAAAACAGTCATACTAATGAAGACTCTAGTATGGTGAAAGGACTGATATGTAGATTAGTAGATAGAAGAGTCCAGGAATAGACTTTCCCACTAATTGATTAATGATTGTCAGTGAAGGTACCAAACCAAATAAAGGATTGCTGTACCAGTAAGTGATTTTGGCAACACTGCGTTCACGTGAAAAAAGAAAATTAACCCTAATTCTTACATCAAAAGTAAAAATTAATTTGAAATAGATTATAAAAGGATTGTAAACAAAATTTCTGGAAAATATAGGTAAAAAAAAATCTTAGTAGCCTTGCTAGGTAAAATTGTCTTAGGAGAAAAAAATATCATGAACCAGAGAAAAAGTTAGTAAATTACATTTTATCAAAGTTGGCAATCTTTTTGTTTTTGAAAGACACTATTAATAAAGTAAAAGGCAAGCCATACAGTCTGAAGATACTTACAATGTGTGTATAAGACAAAAGACACGTATCTAGAATAAACAAACCATTTGTAAAACTCAATAATGAGAAAACAGGCAACCCAGTAAAACAGCAGGCAAAAGAGTTGAGCATAGAATCCATAAAAGGTATGTGAATGGACATTAAGCACACACAGACACTGAGTAGTAGTAGTCATCATGGAAGTGCAAATTAAGCACCAGGAAATGCCCCCTCATAGCCATTAGTATGGTTAAAATTAGTCAGGTTGCATTGGAATACTACTCAGCAATCAAAAAAGATAAACTAATATCATTCACAGCAAGGTGGGTGGAGCTAGAAAGGATTATGCTCAGTGAAGTAAGTCAGAAGGAGAAAGAAAAATACTAGGTTGTTGCACTTACAGAAGGAATATAGAGGATTTTTAACCAAAAAACAAAACAAGGATTATAAACAGAGAAAAACAAAAAATAGACAACTATCAATCAGTTTTACTCTGCAGGGGTTGGGGTAGGAAAGGGATCAAAGGGAGGGCAGGAAGAGCACAAGGGATGTAGAGAGGGTACATAGGTAAATTGGCCATAGAAATTCTCTGGGGACTACATCTAAGAAAGCAAACATTGTGTAAAAATGAAAAATGATGTAAAATATATACAAATTAAATTATATATTAAAAAATTAGTGATTGGTGCTAGTGATAATATTGAGAGTTGATAACTTGCAGTATTAGAAAACTCATACATGACTGATGGGAATGTATAGGGAAAACAGTCTGACACTTTCTAATAGGTAAAAAATGCTTCCACGACCAGCCTCAACTTCTATACACTTAGCGACGAGAAATGAGAACATTCACACACAGACTTAGACCTTTATTCATAAGTGTCAATAAAATGAAAGCAACCCTAGAATGAAATGGATATTTTGTATGTTATACAATAGGAAACTATACAGTGGTAAAATAAATGAATATTAATATCCACAACCATGGGGGGGAGAGGTGAATCTCAAAAGCAGGAACAACAAAGTACATACTGTGTGATTTCACTTATATGCAGTTCTAGAAATGCTAATCCACAGGAACTGAAAGCTTGTCTATGGTTGCTTGGAATGGAAATGGAAGGAAAAATTGACTACAAAGGGTTATGAGGGAACGTTTTAGGGATGAAAAGACTATTCATTATGTTCATTGTGGGAGGTTATGCTTGTCAAAATTCTTTGAATTGTACATTTAAAATGGATGAATTGTATATAAATCATCTTTTAGTAAAGCTGATTTTTTGAAAATTAAATTTATAGTCAAAAAAGACAACTAGAAAAGAAAATGAAGGCTGCTGAGCACCCTTGTTTGCTTTCCCTTTTTGTCCTCCAAAGTGGGTACATGGCCCTGACTGGAGGTATTATAACTCACTCGTAGTACTTTTGTCAAGACTGGACAATTTCAGTTTATAGAGACAATACTTCAAGAATAATGTGGTGAAGTTATTCTGAGAGAATGTATTCCTCAATAATCACTTTTGCTATATTTACAATTTATCTGGCCAAGACTAATGAATTGCCTACAATTGTTCTTATTTTTTATCAGTGAATATATCTATCTGTAAATAAACAAGGTCAAGTCTATTTAGCAATTTGCGTGTTTCCTACTCATCAGGTCTCCATCATCCCAAGGGGAAAAGGACTAGGTTATGCTCAATATTTACCCAAAGAACAATACCTGTACACCAAAGAGCAGCTTTTGGATAGGATGTGCATGACTCTGGGTGGCCGGGTGTCAGAAGAAATATTCTTTGGAAGGATTACAACTGGCGCTCAAGATGACTTAAGAAAAGTAACTCAGAGTGCGTATGCCCAAGTAAGTATAAGAAATGGAGTGTTTCTTCCTAATTTCTTTCAGTATTTGCACAAAAAATGGAGATTCATGAATGATAGTAAACAGTACTACTGTGTTTGACTTAGACTTTTTAGGCAAGGATTATTTTCATAAATCCATTTTATAACAATCAAAATTTAGGAAAAGAAACTATTTTTGTAGTATAGTATTTACTTCCCAGAGCATGTATACAAAGCTTATATGTAGAGTATAAGGTTCACTTGTCAGCCTGTGTGATCCCACATGAAAGACTGCACTCCAACCAAGAACCCAGCTCTTGGAAGTCTCCCTTCCTTCCTTCTGTGAGCATCCACTCTTCTGACTTCCCTTATCATCATGTTGGTTTATATATCCCTAAATAATGTAATTTTATTATCTTGGAATCTGATAGAAGTGACTTTCTTTGGAATTCCTGTTACTCGTATGTCTGTTCATCTTTGCTGGTCTTCTGTCACTTCCTCAAATTCTTTTCATGACACTTTTAGGAGTATAGGTTCTCATCTCTTCAATTGTATCTACCTATAAACTCCCAATCACTCTTCTCTCCATCTTTGTTCCCTTTCCTCTCTCCTCAGAGCTTCAGTTCTGCAATCACAGTTGGTTTTGGTTTGGTCTTGTCTCTTCTTTTCCTTTTTTTGTTAATATTCCATATACACTGAAAATTCCAGTATTTGTCTTTCTCCTTCTGACTTACTCTGATTAGCATAATTCCCTCAGTTCCATGTATGTTGTCACTAATGGCAATATTTCATCTTTTTTTTTTTTTTTCTTAATCACTGAGCAGTATTTCACTGAGTGTATATACCACATCTTCATTCATGGTCATTATGTTGTTTCTGTAACTTGGCTATTATGAATAGTGTTTCAGTGGACATGGAGTGTACCAATTCCTTTGAATTTGTGTTTTTATATTCTCTAGATAGATTCCTAGATATGTAATTGTTGAATCATGTGGTCCATTTTTAATATTCTGAGAAACCTCCATATTATTTTCTGTAGAGGCTGGGTCACTTTGCATTTCCACCAGCAGTGTAGGAGGGTTCCTGTCTCCATAACCCCACCAACACTTGCTGACCTTTTTGGAGATAGCCCATTCTCGCAGGAGTAAAGTGATTATCTTGTGGTTTTGGTTTTCATTTCCTTGATCATAAGTGATGATGAGCACTTTTTCACATGCCTATTGGCCATTTGTGTGTCATCTTTAGAGAAGTGTCTGTTCAGCTTTGCTGATTTTAGCTTACCCTTGCCACAGAAGTTGAGCCCTCAAAGGTATCACTACTGCCAGTGTCATAGAGTGTGTTGCTTAGGTTTTTCTTCTATATATTTTATGGTTTGAAATTTTACATTTGTGTCTTTAATTCAGTTTGAATTGTATTTTGTGAGTAGTGTGAGATAGTGATCTAGTTTCATTCTTTTGCATGTTGCTGTTCAATTTTCAACAGCACCATTTTTTTTGAAGAGACTTTCCTCTCTCCATTGTGTGCTCTTGGTGTCTTTCTTATAAATTAACTTCTTTGGGATTATTTGTTGTGGTTGATTGTTCTTGTGTTCTTTCTAGTTCAATCATTTTCTAAATTAAATTTCCATTTGTATCTTTTTCTTATATTCTAGCTCCTCATTTAAGTTTTTCTGATTCTGATAAGACTTGTTTATCTCTTACGAGGAAAGGACGATTGGAAAAGCTTTTCTAGTTCTATGGTTCCTTGTTCTATTGTTTTCATGAGTCTTAAAAATACTTAACTTCATACTTTTTGAGCTCTCCTGCCCCTCACTTTTATCTGGACCTTTTCTTTTGTAGTAAGTTTGCATCTTCTATAAGTTTCTTCCTAATGTGGGGCTTTATCTGATAAGTTTTGGGGTCTTGTGAAACTAGGCTAGGCTAACCCCTTTACTACGTCCCCTGTGGACTTACGGAACAGGAAAATGCACGCTCCCCTTCTGGTTTCAGTTCTCAGGTTGGCGTGCCATTCCTTCCAGGAAGAGCCCGTAGGCATTTTGGGGATTCTTGTTTTTACAGGTCTGTAAGATACATCTTGCTTCTCTTCTACCTTCTCATGTGTAGAGCATAATAATATTGCAGAAGTTAAGCCTATTGGAATTTGTCACCTAGTCTTGTAGATGTTTGTGATCTTCTGGTCTTGTGTTTCTAGTTGAGGAACTTAAAATGCTGTCAATTTCTCCTATCATCTATATAGAACATAATGTTCACTTAGCTAATGGCCACCACATACACATTGGAAGTAGTATTGTAGTAAAATATGGGCTTAATATCTTTGGAATACTTATCACCATTTTGTAAAAATATGTTATTCTGTCAGCAAAATTGGGTGGCTATTACTAATCATGTCTTCCTTCTCAGATTGTTCAATTTGGCATGAATGAAAAGGTTGGACAGATCTCCTTTGACCTTCCTCGTCAAGGAGAGATGGTGTTAGAGAAACCTTACAGTGAAGCCACTGCAAGACTAATTGATGATGAAGTACGGATACTTATTAATGAAGCTTATAAAAGAACAGTAACTCTTCTCACAGAAAAGAAAGCTGATGTGGAGAAGGTAGGTGACATTTGTACAAATAATCCTCTGTACAGTTTTGTAAAAAGATGAATTGCTATGGTTAACTTCTAGACAATCAGCATTTTCTTTAACTAGCTAACTCTTGGGTTCTTTCATTCATTCTGATATTTCTGTGTCTGCTCTTTCCATATGGTGGTAGGAAAGTGGTGGTAAGCAAACATGTAATCCTGACACTATAGCTCTTTGAAATATTAAAGAATTAAAACAGGATTAAAGAAGTACACTAGGAACTACAAAGTAGAATCAGCATTCTTCCCAGCAAATATTTTACCAGTTTTAAATAAAGAGGAAGAGAGACTGGTTGGCTCTTGCCAGTGTTTGTTGTTTTTTTTTAACCTCTAGAATAAACAGATAGTAAAAGATGAAAGGATCAGTCAGATAGTAAAAGATAAAAGGATCAGTCTAACTTGATGAGTAGGAATTAGCACATGAAAACTATGTTTGGATTAATTACGAACTTCCCAATGATAAACATGCTTCATGTTTTTCTGTTGATCCTCATTTGATGGCATTTCAAAAAGGAAGGGGTCCTTTCTGAACTTAGGCGATTTTGTGCATCCAGTAAACTTGATTTTTCAAAATTCATACTACCAAAATGGAGTTTTTGTTATTTCATATGAAAAATACTTTTAAAAAAAAAGATTTATTTATTTAGGCATACAGAACCTGGGGTACAGGCCAGAGGTGCAAGAACAGTGAGAGCATTCACCAGAGACAGAGTGGGGCGCAGAACAGGCCAACTGACAAAATACACTGCTGAGGGGAGCAGCGGGTGGGGTCAGGGAAAGTCTGTGGCACCATGTGGATCACCTCCGGGGCGGGGATCAAACTCATGCTGAAGTGACTTCAGCTTCTTAGTGCTGTGTTTTAACCTGCTGTGCTACCAGGAAGGGCCGAAAAATACTTTTTTAAAAGGGTTTGACTCAGGTAAAAGCATATTTGTATAAGGGGATCCAAGAAGGAGATGAGCAAGAGAAATGTTTTAAAATTTTCTTTAAAGAAATAAGAGGTAAAGAACCTGTCTCATCTAGGTTCCACATATTCCTGATCCTGGAGACCCAAAGAATCCCAAATGAAAATAAATCCAAACAGGCACACCTTAAGGCATATTATGACCAAACTGCTGAAAAGTAATGATAAGGATACTAAAAGTGTCCAGAGAAAGAAGAGTTACATACAAGGAAATATGTGTTAGATTACCTGCAGCTACTTAGTGGAAACCTTGCAAGTAAGAAGGGAATGGCAGGAAATATTTATAGCTCTTAAATGTATTTTCATCCTAGAATACTATATCCAGCCAGAATGAAGGAGAAATAGGAGTTTTTTTAGAAAAATGAAAATTTAAAGAATATCTCATCACTATGCCAACCTTGAAAGAAACACTAAAGGGATTATATAAATTACATGTAGACATAGCAAAAGCCAAAGCTGTACAATATAGAAAAGAAGGAAGAATAAAAACATGTATCAGTAGAACAGAATTGAGAGCAAACATTTCAACAGATTGCAAATAAGGATCATCGAATGTTAAGTAACATCATTATAATCACAAATCAAAACTCTATAGTAACACATAGGACAGTAGAAATTAACCTCAAGAAAAACATAAAAAGGAGGTCTCAAAGAAATGAAACTATAAAAACATGGCTATTACAAATCATAAATTCTTATATTTTGATAGTCATCTTAAGTGTTTGATTGAATTGAATCTTTTAAGTGTAACTGCAGTTGAATGGCACACAAAATGAATACAATTTTTTACTGTTTATAGGAAACTCATCTTTCTATTGAAGACAAACTGGTTTAAAGTAAAACACTGAAAGACTATCCTTTAAGGAAATGATGATCAAAAAAGGGTAGGAAGGGTTGTACTTACATCAGATATTATAGATTTCCAGTTATGGTAATGAGGTAGAGGTGAACAATATGTAATGAACAAAGACCTACTGAAACAAGATACAGCACTTGATGATCACCGAAATTTATAAATTAGTAGACTTGGAGTTGGCAACAGTGTAATAATAGAGGATTTTAATACTTCAGCTATATGCCAATAATTTGTCACCATCAACAAAGGGAAGAAAAAATTCATGTGAACCTGTAAGTAGATAAAGAGAAGGCATTTGACAAGAGCGCTCTTAATATAAAAGCACTTAACAAAATATATAAAAGGAAAATACCTCAACATAGCAAAGGGTGTGCACTACAAACCTCCAGCTAATACCATACTCAACGATTAAAAACTGAAGGCTTTGCCTTTAATATCAGGAACAAGGCAAAGGTGTCTAATGTAGTTACTTTTGTTTAATTTAGTATTAGAGATTTTACCTAGAGTAATCAGACAAGAAATAAAAGAAATCCTGAATAAAAAATTGTAACTATTATTTGCAGATAGGAGTCTACATATAGAAAACTCTATAAAGAGTTAACTAAAGTCACTAGAAACAATAAATGAGTATAGTAAAGTGGCAGACTACTAAACTAACACAAAATCCATTGCATTTCTACATATAGAAAACAAGTGAGAAGAGAAATTAAAACTGTTCCATTTACAATTATATTAAAAGAAATACCTGGCAATTAACCAAGGAGATGAAGGATTTATACAACAGTAGTTATAAGACAGTGTTAAAAGATATAAAACAGACTATAAAGAGAAGATAAGATAGTCAGTGTTCATGGATGGGGAGAATTAACATAGTCAAAAAAATGTTTTGCCAAAGTGATATGTAGATTCCCTGCAAGCCCTGTTAAAATCTTAGTGATATTCTTCAAGGAAATAGAAAACAAGCAAACAAAAAACTACACAAGATGACAAAGAGCTAACGCAATCATGAGAAAAAAGAAGTAAAAGGGAGGTAACATGTCAACTGACTTTAAACACTATTATAAAGCATCCATAATTCAAACAGTATGCTATTTAGAATAGATACATGAATCACTGGAATAGTATCAAAAAGCCCAGAAATAAAGCCATATCACATTCATATCAATAGTTTATTCCTAAGGAGCCATCATCAATGCAGAAAGTGGTTTTCTTTTTAAAAATATTTATTTATGCATACTGACCTGGGGCACAGGCTAGAGGTGCAGGGGCAGTGAGAGGATTCACCAGAAACAGTGGGGACAGAACAAACCAACTGACAAAGTACACTGCTGAGGGGAGCAGCGGGTGGGTCAGGAGAGGTCTGCTGGGCCATGTGAATCACCTTGGGGGTAATGAAGTGGCTTTAGCTTCTTAATGCTGTGCTTTAATTCACTGCGCCATTAGGGAGGGCCCAATGGGAAAGTTTTTAACAAATGGTGCTGGGAAAACTAGATGACCACTTTGTAAAAGAATAAATTGAGACCACTCCTAACTCCCATACACAAAGATTCAAAATGGATTAAAGACTTAGGAATATACTTTAAAGTATAAATATATAGATTAAATCTTAGGCAATAAGTTTTTTAACATCACTGATCAAGAGATACTTTGGGGGCTCAATATATAAAGCAAGGGATATAAAAAGATAAACTGCTGGGATTACGTTAGTTAAAAATCTTTTATACAAGAAAGAAAATATTTGCAGATTAAAAAGACATCCTACCGAGTGGGAGAAGAGGTTCACACGTCACATTTTACAAGGAATTAATAACCCATTCTATAGATTAAACTCATCCAGCTCAACAGAAACAGAAGCAATCCAATTAAAATGTGGGCAGCAGATTTGATTAATTTTTCAAAGAGGGTATATGTACAGAAGGCCAACAGATACTTAAAAATGTTCATCATTGTCTCTAATGAGGGAAACAACTCCTTTGAGGATGGCATACATCAAAAAGATCCCCAACAACAAATGCTGGAGAGGAAATAGAGAAAGAGGATCACCACTACATAGTTGGTAGCAGTGTACATTGGTACACCCTTTTTGGAAGCTGTATGGACCTATCTGAAAATGGAAATACCTTACAACCCAGCAATCCTACTTTTGGATATCTAACGAATACAAAGTCATCAGCTTGAAAAATTTTGTGGTAAGGTATGGGAGCAGCCCAAGTGCCCATTGACAGAGGATTGCATAAAGAAGATAAAGTGTTTACACACACTGGAATACTACTCAACTGAAGGAAGGATGAAATGTTGCCATTTACAGTAACATGGAACTTTAGGGGATTATATAAAACATAGTAAGCTGAAAGATAAAAACAAATATGGAACAGTTTCATACCTACGAGTAACATAAGGACTCAAAGCAGACGAACCAACAAAAGAAAATAATTACAACCAGCAGACTTTGATAATCAAACAGATTTCCAAGGTGAAAGAGAGGACAGAAAGATCAAGGGGGATTAGAAAACTTTTTCTCTTTACATTTGTAAATTTTACTTAAAAAGGAAAAAAAAAAAGACCCTGGTGGCCCAATGGGTTAAAGAAGCCAAAGCCACTTCAGCAGGAGTTGAAGCCCCACCTGCCCCTGAGGTGGTCCACATGGTGGAGGTGGTCCACATGGTGCAGCTGACCTCTCCTGACCCACCCACCCGCTGCTCCCCTCATTGTACTTCGTTATTATGTCTGTTCTGCTCCCCACTCTGTCTCTGGTGAATCCTCTCACCACCCCCCACGTCTGGCCTGTAACCCTGTAACCCTAGTTCTGTATGCATAAATAAATAAATCTTAAAAAAAAAAAAAAAAACTAGAAAGTTACAGTAAACTATTACACAAGCTGAAATATTAAGAGTTGATGTCTGTAGTTTACTTGTAAAGTGTATTAAGACATAAGATGCTTAGATGGAATGACAGGTAACTAATGTGATTGGACTAAATATTGTAAAATAACAATAGAATCCAGATGATGAATATAGGAGATGGCTATAAAAAATTTTTTGTTTTTGTTAAAAATTATTTCATAATAAAACCCAGAACTTTTTAGTTTGGAAAACTCTAAAACTCTAGGTAAGGGAAGAGTTATTTAGTATTTTCATTGTTCTGATAAAAG